AATTGTGTGTAAAACCTGGTTTTGTAGTAAGTAAAACATCCCCGCGGCATGACAATTATTTACAGTTCAGTTATATTGACAAAATTAGAACCCAAACAGACACGATTCGTTAATTTTACCCCAAAAGAATCATAAATAGTTAGTTATTACTATATTTCTATGAATGATAATTATTTTTTAAAATTAATAACGTGTATAGTGTAAAAAATTTGTAAATGTTTAAATAAACACAGTTTAAGATATTTAGAGGAAATCTACAAACAAAATATGTGTTGATCAATGAATAATTTATATTTTGGATGTAACACATCTTCCGATTGGCTGAAAGTTTTTAATCTATCAGCTCATAGACATAATTTTTTTCATGTGATCGTGACGTCATCAACGTTTTTGCATGATTTACTCTTTAAAGATGGAATTTAGAATTAAATTATGAGGAATGGTTTTGTCCATCGTATTAAGGAATGACGGTATTATTTTTTCTGTCTATTTGAAATAACCTAAAAATGTGGTGCACACTTTTAAATAACCCGCTGCGCGGGTTATTCAGTGAGCACCACATTTTTTATGTTATTTCTTCAAAGACAGAAAAATGATACAGTCATTCCTTAATAAGATGGACAAAAGCTGACAATTATGTAATATTGAGAAGAAGGTCATCAAAACAATTCATCAATAAAAGATCAATATGTTTATGATGTGAACGCCTACTGCAAATGTATGAATGGACTAGTACAAAACCACTACAAAAATGTAACTTATGTTGTCAATGCAAAGCATATTATAATTTATCATGACAGTAGTATGATCGTATGATCGTTTGAGGAAGACTTTAGTATAAATTTACCAGTGACAGACACTTTGATGTGCTGCAAAAATAAATTAGTTTAATACTTTCTAATTATTTTGTTGTGTCATCAAAAGCTTTAAAAAGGTACAGAAAAACTCACAAAACAGTGGACTTCAAGTCGTCTTAATCTCTAATCTGGTAACATATACCATGATATAAACGTAAAAAACATGATAAGAAAATATTCAACAATCGTCATTTAAGGGCGATAACTACTTGAAGGAGTATATGTAAATTGATGGTTTCAATCATTTTTGTTGTTTACAATTGATGTGTAGCTTTTATAGTTTTCAAGATAATAAACAGAAATGCTTGGTTTCACTAAGAAATGGTAATTCAATTACTATAACGCATATACTAAGTCAAAATTGGTTCTTTTTTTATAATTTTGCGTTGTTGTCGATCTTAAAGGTATTGTACTTGGATCTTGAAAAAATAATGAACACTTATTGTTTTCTAGTTTACACTTTCTGTTTTAGCTTTCAAGATATACATGATAAAGACAGCAATGCTTACATATGACAAACAACTGCAATGATTGATATTTGAGGTAAAATGATGTCAATGATGATCTATGTCGACGAATGTCGATTTCGTGCACTTACCCGTAGATTTCCGATTGCACATTGATAATGATATTACGTCGAAGTAAGAACCGATTGTTCGATGCCGTCTCTTACGCTAATTGACCCCGTGTCAACCTGTGTTACTCATATATGATTAAAAACAACTCAAGATTGGCGTATTCAGTAGATCAATGATTGTTTGACTAGTTTTGATTACTGTCGATGTATAAAAGTTTTCATCATAAGAATACAAATAAATGTTAAGATGATTGAGTAAAAAAAACATACTAAAGAAAAATACATATAAGATATGTACTCTTCTAAGAAAAAAATCTAAATTTTTATAATATAAGCACTTTAATATATCTTGCATAGCTGATCATGATGCGTGTTAACTCTGCACATAGTTTGTAAGATATTAGGCAGATATAACTAACAAATAACCGTCATCTAAGGTTTATAACCCTAAAAGTCTTATAAAAAGTATAGACAGTCAATTAACGAGTCAGTCAATTAACATGTAGCTAGGCTGTTCGTTTTTCTCAATTGAATTGTTTCAAATTTTTCACGACGGAGCCTTTTATAGGCGACTGTACGGTATGGGTTTTTCTCATTGGTGAATGCCGTGCGGTTGCCTGTAAATGATTACATTCACTTCATTTGGTGGATAGTTGCCTCATTGGCAATCATACCAGATCTCCTTATTTTTAAAATAATTGCAGGTTGTTCTTGTCTTAAAGTTTTTGATTAAAAGGACACTACGTTAAAATAACAACTGTATAATCAATCCATGCTTTTATTTATATAGTTCTTGAAATGTGGAATAATTTTCCTGAGAGTAGGTAAATTCTGGCACTTGCACATTTTTGTCTGCAAAATTTTCTGTTTTTAGAAATATTCTATTCGTGTGTACTTTCTACTTTAATCCCAAAGTTAGCCATGGCGTTGTCAGTTTATTTTCAATGTATGAGTTTGACTGTCCCTCTGGTATCTTTCGCCCCTCTTTTAAGTGTTATTCATTGCGGCGGCTGGGCTATTGATAAACCGAGATATGAAAAACAACTTTAGCCTTGAAAACCAGAAATCCTGTGAAGCTCATCTAAATTGCATTTTGAAAAGGTTTAGTGACGATAAACGAGTAATGCCAAATGATGAAGGTATACTGTGTTCTATCAGTTTGAAATCTTGTCAATCCATTTTATGTTTAAATAATATTTTTTTTTGGTTAAACTGGACAGTTTCCATCTTTAAAGATGCACACAATTTCCAGAATATAGTTTAAACCCCCATTACTTGCCTGTTTATCATTAAATTCATGTTATGTAAAATCAGAAAGTGTTACTACTTAGATCTGACGGCACTTAAACAAATACTTAAAATCACAGTTCAAACCTATAAAAAAAAAAAGATTCGACTGGTTAATAACTGAGGACGCTCGACTCTCTAGAGAGTTGACTTGTTAGCAAGCAAATGAACTATGTAATGTTATCTATAACTCAAGTGCTTCAAAAGGGGGGGGGGGGGTTGTATTACACCCAGTCATTCAAGACCCTCATGAAAAGGAAAACGTTTAGTATTTTTCATATATGTATGAATATTTGAAATCAAAATGTAGTATTAAAGTAATTGGGCAGGAGGTAATTTCCATGTCATAGAGATTTATTCATCTGTGTCTAAAAGATAAGTAAGCTCTCCAAATATAATAGGATGTTAAGCAATCAAGAACCAATCAATCAATCCAACTATGAAATGTCTAAGTTCAATGAATATGTTACAATCGAGCGAATAATTCTCAGAAACAGGGGTGATCATAGGTTCTCCGGAAAGGTACGCAAATCTTTTTCTGCATGTAGCATACGTCTTGTTGTTGCTGTAAGTACAAAACCGGTAATAATTTTATCGGGTAGTTCATATTCGAGGGAAGAGGACGGGATTGTGGTTACGATAATTGAAAAATATTCGTCGTCATCTGTGATTCCACAACGGTCAACCAATTCGTGATGGCGTCCGTACTATGTTCGAAGGGATGATTTCAACTTCACCACTCTTGGTTTAATAGCTTCGTTGTAAACAGTTATCTTTTAACAATTCTTTCGATGTTTTCGATCGATAACGTGCTTGTTGTGGTCCTTTGAAATTGGTTGACAGTTTTGTCATCTAGACTCATTTACGCTACACTTTGGCACAGTTTTATCAAACAAATAAATCTTACTTAATTAGATTGTCGTTTGAAAAACCGTATTGCAAATGTTTTGCTGCAACTCATTTAAAGCCTTTCTCTCTAATGAATATGTTAGATATACTTATAGAAATATGATGAGATGATTAAATCTGTAAATATTCACCTTGACAATATCTATGCAAGTTTCGGCAATACCGTTTATTGACAGGTTGTAGTATCTTATAGGCACTTTTTGTGTCCCTTAAATATCAGACTTGTTCCTGGATTGTTATGAAACACAGATTATGGCAAAACTCAGTATGGACCAGTCTAAACCCCATTTGTGAGAACACTTACTGCTATCTTGATGATATGTTTTCGTTATATAATCATGAATTGCCTTAATACACTGCCAAATTACTTATCATAAATTTAGATATATCAGTTTCACATGGCAAACTCTACAAAAAACTTTACGACAAAAAGGACGTTTTATTCGGTCCAATTTGTTAAATTTCCTTTCATTGGACGGTGATTTGTTTTTAACCATCTGACGTTGTTTAGGTATCCCAATTTCTTCTCTGTGTCTTTGTCTGTATTAATGATTTGGATTTTAATGAACGGTATCTATCTTTAACTGGTTAATTATTTAGTCAAGAATTTTGATTTTCGGATATTACTGTATTGTATTTTAAGCTTGGCCTTCGTGAAACGTAGATTTTACTGTCGCATATTGAGTTCACCTAGTGATGCGTAGCTCATGTCAAACATAAACGCTAGACGTATTAATACTTTTCGTACCCTTCTGAATGGTTTAAATAATGACAAAATGAAACTTTTTTGTTTATTGTGTGAGAAATTACATAGCAAAAAAAAACGGAATTTAAAATGGTTGCATTACTTGTTACGGACTGATAGAACGTGGAGTCTAATCCATCAAAATATTTGTCAACGTCCAATGAAAATTATCGTTCTAAACGAATTAAAATTGTCATTTTCACGATTTGTTTAAAAGTTTTATAACAAGTTTAGCCGTTTGAAAAGTGTAAACGTCAAGAAAATGTTTTGCTGGTTTTTTTTTTCATTTTTTTTTTTCATTTACGAATAATACGTATAATGGCTGCTCTTTATTGATTTGTTAATAATTTGTATTTTCAAAGACGGCATCATGTTTATTTTAAATCTAAATTTGTTTTTGCGCAGGTTATTTCCACATGAACAGATCGATGATATTTTTACATTAACTAAACTAAAATAAATCGTTCAATTTGAATCACTCAATGGACACTGTTTCTAAGAGTACAATAAGTACTGAAAAAATCCTTTTAAATATTTTTAAAGACGGACAATATTTATTTTTCAATGTTATTGTACAATAGTCATTGCAATAAAGATACACGTTTTAAAGAAAACAAAACAAATAGAGTTTGTAAGTGTTTATTACTATCTACCAATGAACTACTAAAATAAACTAAAAAATAATTAAGTACATATACATACAAAAGTTAAAGTATTTTTGATGATTTATCAACATCATCGAAAGATGAGATATAGGAAAACGATAAAACCACTCAAAAACTCATTTATCAAGTACTCTACATTTATGTATACGGTTTCTACAATATGCATATCAGAACTAACTGTTAGGTGATGTTTTAAAATGTAAAATTCTACTCTGTTAGATATAAATTAAATCAGAATTCAGTATAAGTTTAATAAATGAAACAAACGAGCAATGTTACATGCATCGTTTTAAAAACTTCAAATCGAATTAAATTACACCAACATAGATTATTTATTGTCAGCCAATACATGGTTTCGTTGAGTCCCATGGTTTCATGAATGCTGCTAACAACTACTTATCACCTTTTTGGATCCTGAAATAGAAAATGTCGAATTTAGAAGTGTAATTGTGTAAAGTATACAGCAGAAGCTAAATACATTATACTTATATTACTCCACAGTTATATGTAAAAAACTTGGAGAATCGCACGACCACCAAACAGTTTATACATGTATTCAGTCGTTTCAAGACGTCACGATTATAAATTTTATTTAGGCGAAATACTACTGTAATTCTTCAAAACATATTTGATCAGGTTGTAATTTTCAGTGCATATCTAATAAAATTATACTAAAACTTATGCTTCAACTCCTCCAGGCAATCATTAACCCTAGGTGGTTTTGGCTACTCTTAATGGACCTCTTAGCTCATATAGCTCCTTATATATTCAAATACTAATACACCTTTGATCTTCATTTTTAAGAAGTTTTGAGCGTTCCTGATAAGGGGAAATCAGGAAAATCGTTTCGAACAAATATAATGTATTGTTTCTATTTTGAAAAAAAAACATGCGTGAAAGATAATTACGATTGTAGGAAGTGATTAATGCACTGCTTTCTCATTTAAAATGCAAGGTTCTTTTTGCTTTTTTTTTATTTGTCGAAAGAAACCTATCTCGTATGTCTAAATTTTTACCAATAATTAGGTATTTACAATATCCTAGTTTTGATTGATTTATAAGCGTGTATTCCTTGACTGAAATATACCATTTTAGATTTCTGCATTTTAACGATAAAAGTCGATTACATGTGTAGGTACTGATCAATTCAAAAATTGATATAGCGAACATAATAAACATAGATGAAAGCAAAATAAAAAAAAAACAATACACGATGCGATTTTTCTGGTCAGATCACTGCATAGTAATGTTTGCCTCAAAATTTAATAAAAACAATCTCGCTTTTAATTCATACGATTGTTCTCATTAGTCGCAAAATATGTGATCAAACTTTAAATGTTATGTTCCTCCATCTAAACTGTGCATAAGCTTCCATACCATTTCCATTTTTTGCAGTGTTCTTGGGACTGAAACAGAGAAATATTTCTTATAATATGCAAATTATATAGTATGCATTGTAGTTAATTCATGAATGATATTATTCAATTCAAAATGTATTTTTTTCAAACGTATTATGCAATCTTGTCTAAGTATACAGTTCGTTGGTTTACTTGTAGAACTGAACGGTGATGGCTATTTGATTTCAAATGATATTTTCCTTTACCAAAATCGAATTCAAGTCAAAGGTATGAACAAACACAGTTAGGTCTTTTAGTTTCTATTTAAGATCCAAACATACACACAAAATAGTGTTTACTTGAAAGGAAATCAAATAGGATCTGTATAATTTTTTATGTATAAATTAATTTTCCCGTGAACAGAATTATACAGTAAAACCTGTATAAAGCGGACGTCTAGGGAACTATGGAAAAAGGGCCGGTTTGGACAGTGGGCCGGTTTATTCAGGTTTCCATTTTGACCGAAAGTTAATGACTTGTGATGTCCGATATATTGCATGTAAAAGTTCTGACTGATTGTAAGCTATAAACTCATTAATACAAAACGCAATAACATAATAACTTCGCAAGATCGTTGTTTTGAATCTCCCTATTCATTGGCTATATAAATTTAAGAAACTGGTTGTTCCTCGAATTAAAAAAAAATATATTTTAACCCTTTTATCCATATATTAGTATGTAAAATAGACCTCGGTAGCATCAGTATTCGACATGTCACTTTCACTTTCACTTTGTGTTCATTGTTTTCATTTGCATCATAATCCTCGAGCGTGTTGTGACACGAGAGTTTCGTTTTACTTCCATCGTTCATTTCCGACGTTGGTATAGCCGATTAAAAAGCCAGAATTTTATTAAACAAAATTTCATCACGATCAAAACATTGTCGTACAGTGTACAATACTGATTGATTGTTGTCATCCGGGTGTTCTTCCTTATCAGGGTCATTGGTTTAGGGGTTCACACCAGGGAACCCAGGATGTAAATTTTCTAACTCCGCGATTTGAAAAAAAATTATCTAAGTTACAACGTAAGTTCTATCCGAGATATATTCGGCGTGTCTTTTAGTTTTATTTACACTTTTGTAGTGTTTTATTAATACAGCTCACTACTGTACCATCGTAAGTTCACGGTTTAACACCTGGCTAATTGATTATCCTGAAAAGCCATCTTGTATAAACAAATATGTCTTGATTGCATATCGATCAATACTGTTATCATTTTAAATTAATTAGACAAACCGGTTTTGACAGGTAATATTGATGTAATTAAGAGTATTGGGACTGCATCATTAGACCGGAATTCGGAATACACAGGGGCCGGTTTACAAAGGGTATTTTAACAAAGACTTTGAAGGGGAAAAAAATGGGACTTTAATTTTCGGCTGGAATGGACAGGAAACCGGTTTATTCAGGGTCCAGTTTACTCAAGTTTGACTGTAACTCTTGTTTTCTTTTTCAAAAGAAGTATTTTGCTGAAATGTTTTTTGGTATGTCCGTTTCGCATGTTTTATATTATAATAATGAAATGTAGAGAGTTGGTTATCAGGGAAATGTTTATTCATGATATGACTTGATATTAAGGATAAGATACAAATATAATTTGACACCTTTCTTCAGAGACTTTTGAATTCAAATAGTTTATAATTAAATCGAGATTAAAACTGGAATTAGTACATAATTATAAGAACAAAAAGTTCCGATTGATTACATTGTTGATATTTGAAGATGTTGAATCGTAGCTGTAGTTAAATCTTCTTAATAATTAATCCCCATTTTCCTCGATTTTTAGCATTTTAAGACAGAGAAAACGGATAAATACATGAGATTAACTTTCAAATTCATGTTTCTATTATTCCTCATATAGCATGCAATACATTAAGTTTCTTGGTTAAGTGAAATAAGGTATGTTGCAAGTAAATGCGTTGCAAAAAAAATACATACATGCTATTGAAGAAATAAACTTCTTCGCTTAAAATAAGGTAATTGCCCGTTACTGAAAAATTGAACTACATTATGAATTTAAACAATCATTTTGGTCTGAAACAGGTATTAAAAGACTGACAAATATGTTCTTAAGTCATGTTCAATGTTTCAGCCATTTTTCAGACTAATCCACTGCAGTAAATTCAGCACTGTTCACACAATTCTGTTGAAGACAATTTAGACTGTTTCAGTCTCTGTTCGGGTTATTAGTTGTTCTCATTTAACTGTACACATTTATATCAGACTGAATTGTCCGAAAAAAGCTACTTAACAGTTTTGGTTTGACAACAAGCATAATGTCTGAACTGTATCAATGTGTATTGAATTCATCGGAAAATAAACTTACACTCATTACAAGACTTCACCTTTGCTGTTTTCAGGATTTTCACATGCAGTTAAGAGTACAATTACTGTGTAATACTAAATTGCATATACTATTGATCTTTTTTCTTATTTTTATAAATAAATTTTAAAACCCCTACCTAAAGCCCTTTATCTAAAGACACGAAAATCAACTGATGTTGCTTATTTAATTGCGAAGTGCAATATTTGATCAAGACAGACTGAGAACGGAAAATGTATACCCGTGTTTGCCATTTGCAATTGTTTCTCCTTTGATATTTTGTGACTTGATTATTTTTGTTACTGGCTAGGTACTTTCTATCCTTAACATATTATTGATGATAATATCGATGTTATTTAGACAATATAAAGTTAAAAGATTATTATTTGAAGTAACGGATCAATATACAAGATAAGACGCGTATGTACTAATATTTAAAACGCTTTAGATTTAAGTAAAATCTAAAAAGATTTCAGAACTTCACAATTTTGCATCTTACAAACAGGAACGTGACATTATTTCAAATATAAGAATAAGCCATGTATTTATTATGTTACTATTTAAAGGGAAACTAACTAAAACATTTTTTTGAGTTAGTTAATGTCATGCTAATAACAGTAAGCAATACATATTTCCACAAACAAAATGCACATTTTGACAACGTTATTCATTATCTTGTACAATGTTAAATGTCATACTTTAAAAACCTTCTTTGCGAAGTGATAAAAATCAAGGAAACATATCTTTTTAAAATGACGAGACATGGGCACACATATTTGATTTGAATTTACGAAGAAACAAAAACTTTTACATACCTTGTGCCATGCATACTTCTACTGTCATTTGTCGTAGTTCTGTATTTTTTCCTCTTTTGATCATCTATTGAGCAAAGTATAATTTTAATGAAAGTGTTCCGTCATATTTTCTTTCCGTAAATTGTTTTGTTGTACATTAGGCCGTTTGTTTTCTCAACTGAACTGTTTCACAATTTCCATGTCGGGGCTTTTTATAGCAGACTATACGGTATGGGTTTTTTCTCCTTGTTGAAAGCAGTACAATTGCCTATAATTGCTTACCTCCACTTCAATTTACCGTTGGTGGATAGTTGTCTCATTGGTCAACATACCACATCTCCTTATTTATATAACAGTCAAACGATTTTCAATATTTTTTGTTTTGTGATGGAGAGTTACCTATGCTTTCTGTTTTTTATATTGTTTTGCTGTGCATGTGCTGATTTTGTGTCATGGTTTGCTATCCCATCCTTTGTTTTCCTATTACCACATGTGTCTGAATTTCTCGCCATTTCTATAGATAAGAATAAAAACTATTGACTTTAAATAATTATTGTATGTTAGAAGGATATGTTGTGCGAGTACTGACATCACCTCGTTTTATCTATTTATCCAAGTTAAAGTAAACATTTACTTCACTGGTAACCCAATTTTAATCTGAAACGGTCATTTTCATTAGAATAGCTGTTAAAAGACTAAACATTTAACTGTTATTTTCGGTCTTTCAGTCAATATTCAGATGTATCCACTTTGGTAAATTTAGTATTGTTTAGACAATTCACTTGTGGTCAATTTAGATCTGTTCTGTCTTTGTTCGGACTATTCAGTACTGTTTTACCTGTACATATCAACATCATGCTGAATTTTCTGCAAAGTTACCGAACAGAACTGAATTGACTGTAAGAGAATTGTCTGAACAGTACTGAATTGACCGCCGTGGAAAATTGGCTGAATAAAATAGCATGACTGAATGTTTTATTAATGAAACTTTTCAGATGATGTTCAGATCAAAATGATAGTTTCAGATCAAAATTATTTTATTAGTGCTTGTAAGTCGCTTCCGGTGAAGTCATAATCTCTGTAAAGCTACGATAATTGGAACATGAAAACTGTCAGTGGTGACACACATAGTCGCTGACCAAGGCAGTCACAATTGAAAGGATGACTTAATCTGTGTGCCATTAAGAACTCGTAATGCAATAGTTTTCTTGGAAGCAGCGACCCTTAATCATGGTAGTAGTAAACGCTGTACGGTACATTACATCAATGTGGACATTTTAACTCTGTATTCATTTGTTACTGGATTGATCCTAGATAGAAATGGATAGTTCAGAATAAGTAAATTGTAATCATTCTATTTTGGCGTAAAATGTTGCTTTGAACCTCCACTCCTTGTCAAATCGTGATGTTCGACAACATATGAAGTAAACGTAAAGATATCGCTGATAACGTTATTTAAAATTCTGTAAAAAAGATGCAATTAAGATTGTCTTCAAATCGGAAGAATTCTGAAAGAGGACACTATATAGCGGAAAAATAAGGTTTGGGTTGACGCTAGCTTTTTTTCGTTTTTCTTTGAAAAGTCTTGTATTTTGTCCGCCTCCTTAACATACAGGAATGAGTTTGCAGTAAAACGAAAGCAATTGAATTCCATTGTGATGCATATTGTGTTCCCTTTGACATTTACATTTAACAAAATTGAAGTTAATCTAATGATAATGTGTCCCTTCCTATAACTTCATATGTGTATTCTCTTTTAAGAACCAAACTTGAACTATTTTTCAAGTTTTTCTTTAAGTGTGGAATTGTGAGCTTTTGTGCTAAAGGCATATAAGTCATTTGTTGTAACCAATTGCATTAGAATGGTGATTTAGACTTGATGCACTCTTATAGGTTTTTGTCTTAAGTATCAAAATCAGATTTATATCTACCATACAGAAAACACTTTTACAGTGTTTCAAAAGCTTGTGTATGGAATAGTATTAATATTGATAATGAATTGGAAAACAGGTTGTTTTGACTATTGTTAGACCCAGCAAAAACATATTTAATAAGGAAATGTGGAATTATTGATAGGGAGACAAGTATCAAGAGCTCAAATGACGTAGATGTAAACACTTTTAGGTCTTCAGTAATGAGAAAGAACATTATCGCGTAGTCACCTATAAAAAGGCACCGGCATCAAAAATGTAAAACAATTTAAAAAAGAAAAATAACGGTTTAAATTATAACAAACCAACATACGAGAAGCACTTATGACAGACACGAACAAACGATAAACTCTGTTTGAAAAAAAATTTATAAAATGTGGGTAACCAGTAGAGGGAAGCAAGATCCTGGTATTGATCTTTGGTTGAATTTCACCAGATACATAACTTTTAAACATATAGATGATTATTCAACAGAGAGACTATTTCAAAGGTGTCTTCTCCAGTACATTTTGTGGGACTGTATGATGTGGTCCAAAGTCAATATCGTATTCCTCTATCAAGCTGTTCATAAAAAGTATTAAAATTCAAATACGATAATGTTTGGTTAAATCCACGAGGACAAACTAAACGGCGTTTTGAAATTATCAATTATCATAAGAATATTGCTATTTCCAATCTAATTCATTTTTGTTTTGCACCTGTCCTATATCAGGAACCTGTTGCTCAGTGGTTGTCGTTTGTTGATGTTATTTCATAATTGATTTTCGTTTCTCGTTTTTTATATAGATTAGACCGTTGGTTTTCCTGTTTGAATGGTTTTACAATAGTCATATTTGGGACCCTTTATAGCTAGCTGTTCGGTGTGAGCCAAGGCTCCGTGTTGCAGGCCGTACTTTGAAATATTATGGTTTACCTTTAACAAATTGTTACTTTGATGGAGAGTTGTCTCAAAGGCATTCGTACCACATCTTATATCTATCGTTTTAAAGGCCTTATTATGACTTTGATATGAAGAACAGCAATACAAGCGATGTTTCTTTGCATGTTGTGTATATTGCTGTGCGTGTACTGAGTTTGTGTCATGGATGTATACTTCATATCCTTTCTTTTCTATAACATTGAATTTATCAGTTTTGTTATCTTAGTACTATTTCACAATGACACTATTGCTTTGTCTCAATTCAAATCAATTATACACTGACCCTGCTTTCTGGAGCGCTTGTAAGCCAAGTAAGCGACAACTAGTGACCCAACTCCTGCTACTGCACTCACCGCACCTATTATTCCTTTAACTACTGTGTCAGCTGTGAAAGTATTGATAACCTCGATAGAAAATTATCAAATTAAAACATTTAGAAAAAGTTAAATTATAAAAACTTGTAAGCTAGTAGTGAATGTTCACCTTGACATTGTCTAGAAAGAAACCAATATCACACATAAAGGGACTTCGGTTGGTGCATTGTACAACGTATTACTTAACATGACATTCCAAAAGAACATAATGTTGTCTCGATTACGGATATGTTACAAGAGAACATCATCACACTCTAAAAGTTATTTGAATCGTTTACCGTCCACACATAGGTCTAATCAATACATTTATATTTATTAATTGGGCATATACTATGATTATTGCAATCTGAAAATGAAGAGTGTTTGCTTCAACATTGCCACTAATAAATGATGATCAAATGTAAGAGATAATTTTACAAAAATTCAGTATAGTATTCAGTATAGGAAGGATATCTTCTGATACTATACGTACTGTAGTCTTCGTTATCCTCAGATTTAGTATCTGGTGTAACACCTGCCTTAACTAAAAAAAAAAAAAAAAAATAAACTTTACAGTAAAATTTCACAAATCTATCAAAATCATATGATACTGTAACAACAGTATTTAATGAAAAATGAAATATGATTGTTTAATATTAGAAGTAGAACTATAGATGGAAAATGTATCAAACTGTCCTGAAAAGAATAAGTTTTGCATACATTATCAATCGTTTCTTCGTGAACAATGTTCACATAGTTCAATCTGGCATTATGTGATCAATAGATAAATGTATTCAATCTCGAAAAATGTATGTGTATTTGACACAAGGAACGATGCAATATTTACCTTATCGATTGACTGGTTATTCATGTTATTGGTAGATTAATAGAGCAAAAGAGTTACATTTAAACAAGATCACGGTTTACACACGTTTAATTACATGCATGCATAGCAGTACACACTTAAACTGTTGATGCACCGGTCTCGCTCCTTTTATAGTTCGTGCGATTTCCTAAGGTTTTGTTTGTCAACTTGTACATGTTGTTTGTCTCTTTTGAATTTAATTTTGAGATTTAAACATCGGTAAACCTCTGTTGCCTTAATTTTGTCACTCTTTTTAGTTCTAGGAACATGACCCTTTTCATTTGCATTTGTTCAGTTATGAAGGTTTCTTCATAGCAATAACTATATCTAGAGACAACAATTGTATTTAAAAATTGAATGCACTTTTTTTATATTTTTATTGGGTTGAAAATGCGTTGACCGAAGCAAATTTTGAACGAAGCACAGAAGCATTTCATACTAAAATGTGCGCACTACCAATGCGTGTACAACTATATAAAATAACCAATAGAAGCATTCGATTCGTATAATAATATTTGTATGGTACGACCATGAAATTATGAGTTTTATCAAGCTTTTCTTTTTTTTTTCATATGCATTGTTGTGGCGTTGTCATGGGAAGCACGTGTTGTCATGGATTTAGATATAAAACAGACTTGCAATGTAACTATATAATGATACGTGCTTCAAGGAATACATAAAAGATATAATAAATCAGAAAAAGATAGAAATGATATACATTAACCTTTGTCTAATTTAGTAAGCAGATTTTAATTTCAAACGTTACATTTTGCAATGTCAATTGCATTATTTTTGTTATTCAACATAATGTTTAATTATGGGAAAAATTTGAAAAGTGTCTTCCCTTTTACATGCAAACTAAATATTATCTTTTTATGATAGTTGGTCGTGTTTTCGATTAGATGCTTTTACATGGCTAGTGCATTGTTTCATAAAGGTTTCTTTTAATTGAACAGGCTATAATCAGATGAGTCAGAGGAGTTTCTCTGGATTTACCTTCGCTTGGAACGTACAGACCAAACATGTTAAATGCCAACTATTAGATTATGAATATTTTATGTTTATGTTTCACCCTGACTTTTGTCCTACATATGTGTATCTTCAGTATGTTGTGACAAAGACAACACGAAAAATAGAACAATTTAAATTAAAAGACATGTTAGTGTAAAAATAATCATTGGCCCACCTGTCAATTTTGCAGGAAAGCTTCTTCCTGTACCGACAGAATTAACTGCCAAACATGTATATTCACCAGTCATCGATTCCATTGCCAATGGAATGATAAGCGATGGATTGTCAACGGTGACTCCCATGATTCCGATCGAAGCAGATGAAAGTCTTGTTATTGAGCCATGTACATATCTTTCCCAGTACACCCTTGAAATTGCTGGAAAGGCATTTTTAATAGAACAAGTAAGAGTTATTGTATAACCAATGCCTGTAAGGTGCGTTATAGATGGAACATCAACTTCAGGAAGACCTGCAATAATATAGAGTATTACAACGTTGTTGTTTTTTCTAATTTATATACTATATTAATCAAAATTAAATGGGGCCATAGTATATCATTGTTATACCGATAACACAGAAATAGTTCATGTGCCATCAAAACATAAATATCTTTCGTCTTCTTTAAAAAGTTCGAAAAAAGTAGAATTAATCAGTAGTTTTACTGGCAATTTCAGTTTCCGATTTTATGTTAGGACATTTATTGACCATGTCTATTATTATGGGAAATTCGAGTGACGTTCCTGTTGAGACATAATCTCACATACTTTGTTCCATTCATAACCATAGTGGCCGAGTGGTCTAAGCCGTCGTACTACTGTATCCGAACTACTGTATCACTAGCCTGTCAACACTGAGGTTGTGAGTTCGAATTCTGCACGTGGCAGGTGAGCTCGACTCCTATTTTAATTGACTAGGATTGTCAGTTTTTCTACAAAAGTTCGGTGGTCCTCTCCGGGCACTCCGGCTTCCTCTAATGTTAAAAATTGACCGCTACGAAAAACCACAAGAGTGTTGAAATGGCGTTAAACACCAATCAATCAATCAAAATCATTCATAACCAATAAAACATATTGCAGTTGAGGTTAAAATTGCTATAAGGCCTATATCTTTGACGATAAATGTAGAAGTCTATTATATACTCGTTTATATTTTGTTTACCTCCAATGACGTTGAGTTTAATTGAAGAACTATAACCCATTCCAAATTCATTGACTGCAAAGCATTTGTAAAGTCCTGCATCCGAATCTGTGGTATGGATCAATATAAGTGATGGATTTGCAACCGTAATGCCTTCAGTTCCAATGGTTCCATTATTTATTACTTTGGTGATACCTTTGAATTCTTTCTCCCAGTAAACTTCGGTCGGAGGTGGTATGGCGTCCACAACGCATAATATATGTGCTTTTTCACCGTATTTTACTGGCAGCAAATCCGCTGTGATAGTAATAGATGGCAGCTCTGAAACACAGAGAAGAATATCTACACGATTGATAGTTTGAAAATGTATTAAATTAATTTCGATAGCACTTTATCAGTTTCTGATTAATTTTCATCGGCGATATAATAAAAAGAAAACTACACGATATGGGTTTTTCTCGTTGTTGAAGGCCTTACGGTTGACCAAAATTGAGTACATCCACTTCATTTGAACTTTGTTGGATAGTTGTGTCATTGGCAAATCATACCACATTTTCTTTATTTTTATACTGAATAGCTTGTTTGTAAAAAGTTATTGTACTTTGGAAAAGCAGACACCAAAACGTAGTAGACTAGTCAACTTGAAAGAACCTACCACCAATGACGTCTAAATATGTGGTTTCACTGTATCCTGTTCCAACATCATTTGAGGCTATACATCTGTAAGTTCCTTTATCTGATGTAGTGGTTTTTACTATAGTCAGCGATGGATCATCTAATGAAACGCCTTGTATTCCAGCTGTCCAATTATTAATTACTTTTTTCGTACCATTAAATCCTCTCTCCCAGTAAACATTTGTAACAGGTGGGTTAGAAGTAATATTACATGACATTGTTACTTTTTCACCATACCCTATTGAATACCTAGTATCTTTAACATAAACAATCGGCACATCTGCAATTTAAATGCGGAATATTACTATTTCATTTGGACATTTCTGGTATATAACGTCTTTAAGGCATATAGCAATTATTATACAAGTAGGATTATCATATTGTCTACAACCAAATGAATATTTATGGATAGAAAACACAGAAAGCGAAAAGAAAATATGCAAGGAATAAACATGATTAATAATAAATTAAACTGGTCATACTGGTCGTTTTTCTCAAATAAGCCTGACCAGCAATACATGAACATAGTAGGATAAACTCATCATATATACAAGGAATACAATTTTGTATGCCAGACACTCGTTTCGTTTACAAAAGATCTATCAGTGACGCTCAAATAAAAATAGTTAACAATGCCAAATAAAGTCAAAATTCCTTGGAGTTAAGCAAAATACTGCTTAGGTAATTCTTTGGTAGAAAATCCTTTATATTTCGAAACTTTCATAGTTTGTACACAGTTAATCTGTAATTATGATCATATCAATTATATGTCATGTCAACACAGACGTGTTGGTCTATCAATCCGTAAATTCATAAGTCCCAGAGTAAAACATGGAAACCCCTGTTAGGTCTGATTGATATGAGCCACAAAGATCATTTGCATGTTTGAAAAATAAGAATGAATTTGTACAGTTAGACGCGGAATCAATCAATAGAAAAAAATATAAATTTATGCGTTTGGATAGTTTTTTTTTCCAAGAAACAGTCATGTTTACTGGAATAATGTTTCCCAGTAATAATACTAGTTCTTTTCCAAAAGACAGAGAAGTATGCAACATTTGCAGCAATTGAGATATGATATTATGGAAATATCCAAATCCATGTTATAAATTTTAAAAACCTAAAACAAAAACAGAAAAGTCAAATAGTAAGTAAACAAAGAAAACTTTCGATTTCATTTGATCAGGGGCAGATAAACCCGCAATGATCTCATTAAACATTCATATATTCATTATTGGCTGAAAATTCGTAAGCTGCATCTATCAAAAAATGTTTGAAAACAAATTCCAAACATGCTTTTAATTAAAAACGGGTATCCATATGGTGTAATTTGTTTACTGAATAACACGCATATTGTATATTTGTGCTTTAATTATCACGTAAACGGTTGCAATACATGTGGCTGTTTTTCTTGCCGATATTGTCGGCTTGTGGACCCTGCCTCCGTTTGCGAATCAACCAAGCAGTAGACGATAGCCATCAGATAGGTGCTTGTGGTTTACAGAATCGAAAGCAGCTTGCAGCGGAATTATTTTCACTTCTACGTGAAAATCTAACCAGAAAAGTAAGTGTAAGCCACACAATATGTACAATTTATTAAACATACGTTGCTTGTTTTGTTAATTATTCGCTTCGGAAGGTGAAAAATGGCACAGTATTAAAAAAAACGAGGTCATTGTTGGCAAGCATGGTATACACGTGGTCAATACGAAACTAAGACTGCAAACAATATCTGAAATTTGAATATGTTATCAGATCCCGTTAGTTAATGAACAAAGTATTGAATGAAATAAATTCCCTACATGATACCAAGAGCACATTCTCAAATTTCGCCCTTAAGTTCGTATCTTGTTTGTGTAAATTATAACACTGGCCCCCCAGTTCCTTTGGACCCCGATCCCATGTTGATGGAGCTGGGATCCCTCCGTTCAAAGCATGGAACCCTTAATTTGGAGCCTGGGGCACAAACACTTGCTCAAAGAAACTCTGAACACCTAAATACAGCTCACAGACCGTGTAACCGCACCCCAAACCAATTACAGTGAAAAGTCCAGATTATAATATTTTCTGCTGAGTGTTGACGGTACATGTTTTTTTTCAAATTTGAATTTTATATATCCCTACTTGAAGTTTAAGGCGTTAAAGCAAACATTTTAAAACAACGTTACAAGGCGTTGTAATTGTTTGGACTTATCCTTTCTATGCGTCTTTCTCTGGAAAATGCCTGTACGTTGAATAAATTATCTTAGAAACAGTAACAGTAACTTTCAAATCAAAACTTAGTCAGTTATATGACCAATTGAAAGTAAATATAACAATACAAAAGTATGACTTCTTGAAAGGCTTTGTTGTTGTATTACTGTGACGCCTTCCAATGAGAGTCCATCGAAGGCATCAGAGTGAAAAATTAAAGAAGTCATGCATGATGTAATAATATTACTGTGGATTCATCATTATTTGTTGGATACTAAGTTTCGTAAATTTCGACGGTACAGGTGAACCAAGAAATTACATGTTCAACGAATGAAAAATTTGGCTATGGCCTGTATGCAGACTTCGGCAAAACCACAAAATTAAATACCCCAAAACATGCAACTTTTCCTTAAGCCACGAAAATTGGTACCCACGAAAATAAATTTATCCACAGTAAACTAATGAATATGTAGTTTGCTGACCCTGACTGCCCACGTTGACATATTTTTATGATATGGTTATCAACAGTATTCAAATTAAAAAAGAACACTGCATGCATCCACTGATGTCTATATAATACATGTATATGTATGTACCTCATTCACAGCAGACATTGACATAGCAGAAAACAGTCTTCATACTTAACTACAGGCCAAGCAGCCCATGCCCAGCCAATCTCTACAGACCAACATAAAAGTGTTTAGTACTGTAAAATCAGGCAGAATTTTTGTTTAGAGCTGGAAATAGTATGAGAGAACGGAAAATCTTATTGCATTTTTACATGCAACAGTTGTATTTTAATGATGTTTTCCCGTATTTTTTCAAACCATTTATACCTCCATTATGAAAATCTGCCCCTATTAAACATGCCTGCAATAACTGCTGTGTGTGTATGTTGTTGTTGTTGTTGTTGTTGCTTTGGTTTTGTTTTGTTTTGAATTTTTTGTTTCGTTTGATTTTTTTTTTTTTTGGGGGGGGGGGGGGGGGGGTTGAGCCGTGCTCATAGTATTTCTGATTGATCATAAAAATTAATGTTAAGCATAAAGACGAGATAAAAGGACAACGGGATATTATGCGCTCATGGCGCAGCTCTTTATTTTGATTATGTTGAAGCAATTGTTCTACAATTCAATAAAAGAGCCATGAGTTTTATGACGGAAATCCAGATATCAATTTAGGATTGGTTGGCAGACAAAATTTCTTTATTTAATGTATTATATTTATCAATGTATGATCCATTGTAAATTATCGGCCCCTTATTTAAAAAAAAGTACCTGTATTAGTATTAAATTATTACTTTCTCTTTTTAGCTGACCTGTCAAATACAAGATACAGAGTGTCATTCCAACTTTTATGAAATAAAAAGAAATAATTGAATTTTGAAAGCTATATCATTAGACTCTTTTTTCTTTTCTTATTTTTTTGTTCCTTATCAAAATTGGTTATCCTTTATATCTGTACACAAAATCAATCCGTACTGAAATCTATCAATATAAAGATAAGACTAAATGGTATGACTTCAATGAGAAAACTATCCACCAGAGACCAAATGATGTAGATGCATAATCTATATATAGGTTGATTTTCTGTCTTCATCAATAAGCAAAAACCATACCATAAAAAGCTATAAAAGGCACTGAAAAATGTAAAATAATTCAAAGGATAAAGCAACAACCTGATTTATATATAAAACTAGAAACAAAAATAAATATGATAAACAGTTATCAACAACGACCACTGAATTACAGGCTCCTGTCTTGGGAGAGTCACTTGTAGAATGTGATGGGGTTAATTAAACATGTTTGCGAGCACTCAACCCCCTCGTTTCCACTAACCTTGGACAGTAGTTCCAAGGTACAGCATAAGAACAAACCGTAAAAGTTAGTGAAATAAGCTGGACTCTTATTTTGTCAGATCAATACATACATGTAGCACAAAAATAAAGGCACAGAAGTACTTGCAGTTACTGAAGGCTAATTCAACGCTTGTTACAACTTATCGAATAGGCATTTATCTTAGACTGAAATAATCAGTCGGTACACATGGATTTAGTTTTAATTCAGAAGCCCATAATTAAATATTAGCAACTATTTTACTATTCAAATACAGGTGTACAGATAATCTGAAGCGATAAACTTATATCATATAATTACAAAGTAATATCTATATTCTCCTGGTATCCTGCTTATGCTGCTTGGAAACCGTTATGTTCAAAGTACTTTTATTTTTCACCTCAATCGTGTGTCTCATTTACAGTCCACATTAAAGTCAATGCTACGAAACAAGTTAACAGCTATGCACGCCTTGCCTTTCTTCCTGATTTATAATTTGTGCAAACAAATTTGTGTTATCACAATGTAAG